GAACAGACCTGTGGATCAGTGCAATAGATTAGAAGATACAGAAGCAACTCCAGATATACTCAGCTACGTCAACTTTGACAAAGGAACCAAACACCATCAGTGGAGGAAAGATAGCCTATTTAACAAATGGTGTTGGAAAAACTCGATTTCAACCTGCCAAAGATTAAAACTAGACCCATACCTATCACCATGCACTAAACTAAGATCGAAATGGATTAAATATCTAAATATTAAAACAGAAACACTAAACCTGCTGGAAGATAAGTTAGGTAGAACGCGTGAAGACATTGGCATAGGAAAAGACTTCATGAACAAAACCTCAGTAGTACAAGAACTAGCAGAAAGAATCAAAAACTGAGATCTCATCTTATTAAAAAGTTTCTGCACTGCAAAAGAAACCACCAACAGAGCTAACGGACAACCTACAATGTGGCAAAAAAATTTTAGTAGCTGTACCTCAGACAAAGGACTACTATCCAGAATATACAAAGAATTGAAAAAAATCAGACCCCCCAAATTCAAAGACCCAATTCAAAAATTGGCATCTGAAATGAACAGACCTTTCTCAGACAAAGAAGTAGAAATAGCAAACAAACATTGTTGGTGGGAGTGCAGACTGGTGCGACCCCTGTGGAAATCAGTATGGAGAGACCTCAAAGAACTAGGGTTAGAGGTCCCATTTGACCCAGTTATTCCCCTACTGGGTATCTTCCCAAAAGAATTAAAAGAATCATACCACAGTGATATATGTGCACTCATCTTTATAGCAGCGCAGTTCGTAATAGCTAAAGCTTGGAAGCAGCCCAAGTGCCCATCAAGTGGAACCTGGATAAAGAAGATGTGGCTTTTTTATAAAATGATGTACCACTCAGCCATAAAGAATGAAAAACTAGAGTCGTTTATAGCTAAATGGATGCATATCAAGGCCATACTCTTAAGTGAAATAAATATGACACACGTGTAAATACCAAATAGTTTCACTAGTGTGAGAAAATGATAGTGTAAACAAGGTTTGAAATGATTAAAATGAACGATTGACAGTTTGAAATAGGAAAAAAGATCCAAAGATGAAGGGGTGTAGGGAGCGGATGGGGAAAGGAAAAGAGGGAAAGGAAAAACTATGAGAGAAGAAAAAAAAATGTAAATGATGTGTGTGTAAATAGGGAAGGGTGGAGGGGTTGAAGGGCGCATAGGTAGTGAGCAAAAAATAACCAAGATACATCATGTACAGGTACAAACACCCAGTGATAAATGTAAAAGAATTGTATACCTAAAATGTACCAATAAAGGAACGTAGAAAGAAAAAAAAACAAAATGAAATCGTTCACACTAAAATCAGGAACAAGACAAGGATGTCCACTATCACCACTCTTGTTCAATATAGTTTTGGAAACATTAGCCACGGCAATTAGATAAGAGAAAGAAAAGGAATAAAGATAGGAAATGAAGAAGTCAAATTGTTATTATTTGCAGATGACATGATACTCTATATAGACCCCAAGAACTCCAGCAAAAGTGTTCTAGACTTAATAATCAAATTCAGTCAAGTAGCTGGTTACAAGGTCAACACACAAAAATCAATAACTTTCCTCTACATGAACAATAGACTCACCAAGACAGAAATAGGGCAAATATTTCCTTTCACAATAGCATCCCAAAAGTAAAATACCTAGGAATCAACCTAACGAAAAAAATCAAAGACCTCTTCTCTGAAAACTATAGCACTCCGAAAAGAGAGATTGAAGATGATATCAGAAAATGGACAGACATCCCCTGCTCCTGGGTAGGAAGGATCAATGTAATGAAAATGGCCATACTTCCAAAACTGCTATATAATAAATTCAGTGCAATCCCAGTTGAGATCCCAGCAGCATATTTCACAGACCTTGAAAAAAACAATCCAAAATTTCATTTGGAAGAAGAAGAGACCCAGAATAACAAAAGCAATTCTAGGTAACAGAGACGTGGCAGGGAGTTGAAACTATGAAGCTCCTGCAATAAAAACTCATGTGATTAAAAACAGCATGGTACTGGCAAAGAAACAGACCTGAGGACCAGTGAACAGATTAGAAGATGCAGAAACAATTCCAGACACACTCAGCCATTTCACCCTCGATAAAGGAGCCAAACACCCTTGCTGGAGGAAAGATAGCCTTTTTAATAAATGGTGCTGGAAAAATTGGGTTTCACCTTGCCAGAGATTAAAACTAGACCTGTATTTCTCGCCATGCACTAAACTAAAATGAAAATGGATTAAAGATCAAAATATTAAAATTGAAATGCTGAACCGGCTGGAACAGAGGTTAGGTAGAACTCTTGAAGATGGTGGTGTAGGAAAAGATTTTATGAACAAAACCTCAGTTGCCTGTGAACTAGCATAGACAATCAACAAGCGGGATCTCTTACTAAGCTTCTGCACAGCAAGAGAAACCACCAGCAGTGTGAAGAGACAACCCACAATGTGGGAAAAAATTTTCACCTGCTATTCCTCAGGCAAAGGTCTACTATCTAGAATTTATAAGGAACTTTAAAAGATCAGACCTCCCAAATTTAAAGACCCAATCCAAAAATCAGCATTTGAAGTGAACAGACACTTCTCAAAGAAGTAGAAATGGCAAACAAGCATATGAAAAAATGTTCAACATCACTGGTCATTCGAGGGATGCAAATGAAAACAATGTTGAAATTCCACCTCATTCCAGAAAGAATGGCTGCTATCATGAAATCAACCAATAACAAATGCTGGT